GGGGGGGGGGGACTGGGTTCAAATCCCCAGCACCCATGTGAAAAGCCAGACATGGCTGAGCATGCCTGCTAACACCAGCCACGTAGGGATGGAGACAGGTCGACTCTGGGAGTTCTCTGGCCAGCCTTCCAACGGGAAGAGTAAGCTTCCCGTTGAGTGAAAAAAACCTCTGTTTCAAGACAATAGGAGAGAGAGAGAGAGAGAGAGAGAGAGAGAGAGAGAGAGAGAGAGAGAGAGAGAGAGAACCTTGTGCTCTGGCCTCTACACATGTTCAGAAGGGTTTACACCCCTGCACACTCACATGCATATAACACAAACACACACACACACACACACACACACACACACACATACACAGAGTCACATGGAATTTTTAAAAAACAAGGAAATTTTACCCTCTTGGCCTTCAGGATTTAAGTTAAACCACTTAGCTGCTGTTCCCAACCTCCACTGTGCATGGGACTCACTCCCGGAAGTTCAACAGAACAAAAAATAAGCAAGCCGAACAAAACCCACCCCCCAGCAAACCAGATACCTGGGTCCCTCCCCCAGACAGTCTGATTTACTCAGAGTGAGTCTGAGTCCAGGCAGTGACAGGAGAGCTTTAGTACATGGCCAGGGTGGAGAACCAGAGCCCTGCAGTGGGTCCAGAAGCCCCTGTATTAGTAAGCCTCCTTCGCTGTGTGGTGAGGGGCTGTCTTCCTCTTCTTCCCTGTGGTTTTGCTTAAATGAAATAGGCCATCATTTCAGCCTATTTTTGTTATATTCATATATTTCACATTTATAGCGTCTGTCTTGTATATCTTATTGTAGTCTATATTTAGTAGTCGCAATGATACATCTGTGCATTGAGTATGTCACGAAGATGGCTTTACTGGAGGGCACCATTTGCAGAAAGAAAGATCAAGATGTGTTTCCTAGCTGGGCGGTGGTGGAACACGCCTTTCATCCCAGCACTCAGGAGGCAGAGGCAGGAGGATCTCTGTGAGTTCTAGGCCAGCCTGGTCTACAAAGCAAGTTCCAGGAAAGGTGCAAAGCTACACTGAGAAACCCTGTCTCGAAAAACCAAAAAAAAGGTTTTGCTTCCTATACTTTGGAGAGAGCAGTTCTTTGCAAATGGAGACACAATCCACTGGGGTGGGACCCGCACTTTTATGACACTGGCTTTATCCTTTTCTATTTGGCCTTTTTAAAACAGTTTATAGAGGAAAGGAATTTAGACACTTCACCAGAAAAAAATGAAAACAAAAACAAAAAAGGAGCCACTAACCTCTTCCTGGTTCAGCCAAGCACTTGACACTTGGACACAAAGCAGACAGACAGTTAAAAAGCTCAGCAGGACGAAGGGGGAACGGGACAACACAGACCAGAGTGGAACCGAATGACAGGACAGTTGAGCATTTGGATCAGCTGTGGGGATTTCAGGGTGAAGCAGAGCCCCTCTTCCCTCTAAGAGAGCCACCCATCTCTCTTGGTCTTCCTCACTCTGAGAAAGTGGGTAAAGATGATTACAAATCACTGTCATCTGGTTAAAAACATTTTTGCCATTTAAAGGACACGCTGTTCGTCATTGGAGTATAATTTAAAATGCCAACGTATTATGAAGATTCAAACCAACAAAAGAACTAGTGTTTGCAGGAGAATTTGTCCCAACCCAAAGGCCTGGCTGTTTGGTGGGCCAAGTATTTGGAAATTCTGTTTTGTTAGTCTCCTTGAACGTATTATTGGATTTCGCTTTACTTAAGGAAACTGCTGTTTCTGACTTTTTTCCTGTCGCATATGCCGAGTGATGGAGAATCAAGCTTCTGATATTTACACACGTATTACATCTTGGGAGGCTTGGGGGTGCTGGTGGTGGGAGCAGACCCAGTTCCACACCCGTGATGGGATGAGCTGTTCTCATGACTCTGACATGCTTTTAGGTTCCTGGCAAACTAAATGTCATCGTTAATCCTGATGTTTCTGCTTTTAATCCTGATGAGCTTTTTTTTTTTTTTTTTTTTAAACGGGATGCAATTAACGTGTGGGCCGGCTAGTGGAACTCGGGATTGCAAATGATTTACGGGGTGGAGCAGAACTGATCTTGTGCTGCAGTATTAAAGCTCGAATCTGCTCTCAAAGGCTCTACTGTCATCCTCTGCCCAGTTGTGCCTAAAAAACAACACAGGTGCACTTATTATTTTAATTACATTACTTCAGTCCTCTTGGGAGCACACAGAGGCTTGCAGAAAAATCAATAGCGGTAAGAGAAATGTTCTCCTCATCTCTTTGCATAATGAACTACTGCCGTCCAGCCTCTCTACCCATCACTTTCATCTCGATGGAAAAGCCATCACATCTATGAACTATTAAACATCAAGTCTACCTTTGAGTTATTCATTACAACGGTTTGCCAGAGACTCCATAGAGGATTCTTTGAGTTTGGAACAAGAGGAATTCCAGAGTGTCTTGGGCACCAAGATCGTTGACGTACCTTGAGCCATCCTGCGTAGAAGAAGAACTGGAGGAGAGTGAAGATTGGAATGTACAGATCTAAGTCATGCCCCGCGTAGCCTTTGGTGGGATCCAGGAACTGCCGTCCAATCAGGCATGCGAAGAAGAATGTGTAGACGGCCAGAGTGACCACCTGGAACAGAGAAAAGACTGAGGCAGAGGGCAGTGCCGGTCGCCCACAGAAGCCCAAGGCAGAGGGCAGTGCCGGTCGCCCACAGAGACTACGGTGCAAAGGGCACAGGTGGGTGTAAAAAACACACGCGCAGGGCTGGGGCGATAACCCAGTCCGTGAAGTATGGCAGCACAAGCCTGAGGGACCGAGCGCAATTCCAAGCACCCGTATAAAATGCCAGGAATGGTGGCTTGTTCCTGTAACCTCAGTTCTGGGGAATGGGTGAAGATAGGGAGATCCTGGGGCCTTGCTGTTCGGCAAGTTTGAATGAAAAATTTAAAAGTGAGGCTGGGTGTCGGTGGCGCACACCTTTAAATCCCAGCACTCGGGAGGCAGAAGCAGGCGGATCTCCGTGAGTTCGAGGCCAGCCTGGTCTACAGAGCGAGCTCCAGGACAGACACCAAAACTACACGGAGAAACCCTGTCTCAAAAAAAAAAAAAACAAGAAAATAAAAATAAAAATAAATAAATAAATAAAGTGGATGGCCCCAGAGGAGCGGCACCCAAGATTGATCTCAGATTCCTACGCTCCTGTCCCCGCCCCCCCCCCCTGGCCCCAATCACATGCACGGTATTTGGTACCTGTGTGTAAACCAGTGGAATGCCAACCCAGTCATAGCCAAACAGGAGGCTGCACCAAGAGCGGTACCGGTTCATCTCCTAAGCCCAAAACATAAAATCACGCTTTACTAACACCATGGCCACAGTAGTAAACATTAGCTGGGATTCAGAACCCCCGTGCACTGTTGATGATTGTGTCAGGAAATGATAAGGCCAACTTCATAAGTTAGCCCCTAAGGCTGCCGGGAAAGTTCTAAGAATGAGAAAGCAAAGGATATCATGGAGCCGCTTGTGAAAAGGAAAAAAAAATGATGAGGACATTGGGACATATTTTTATAAATATTAAGAAAAGATGAAATGTTATAAGGATAAACTTGCTTTCCTAACCCACACTCTTCAATGTATAGACTGGCCCCAAGTGCTCATGGGAAGTTAAAATGGTTAATATTTTAAATAAGTAACTACTAGGTATTTTGGTAGAAACATTTGGCAAGCATTTTTCCCCCTCTCCTTAAAAACATTCCTACTATAGATATTAGATAAGACATATAAATACATGCTAAGCCTTCTGCCCAACAAATTGAGACTTTAAAACTGCTCATATTGATAGAAAATCTATTAAGAGGAAGGATGGAGAGTCATTGATCTCGTCCCTTATCCATATGAGACTGGAATCTAATATGACCTCAGTTTGAAACCATTTATTCATGTTAGCCTCATCCAAGCCAGAGACCATCAGGGCTGTCACAGCAGATTACCACTGTATACATCTCTCCCATGAATCCTGAGACCTTTCATTTAGCAAGACATTGTTTTGTTCCTTACAGCAACTGAACACTCATTTAAGTTTGGGTTATTAAAATTTGGGGTGGAGAGAAAAGACTGAGGTTTATTCTTCCTTAGGGTTTTATTCTGGAAATAAAACAAAAACCTAAGGATTTTATTCTAGAATCCTGAAGCAAGGGGTAGCAAATGCCCATGGGCAACGTGCCTCTTCAGAGTCCTTGGCAATCCTGGCTTGAACACTTCCCTACAAGCCTCTCACAGAGCGTGCTGTGCAGACAGCCAACGCTTCCAAGGAGGCTGAGTTCCTCTTGCTCACTCTCTGTTCTGCTCACCGTGGCTTCCCACACTGGCTTCCTATTCCTAGCACCTTGAAGTCTGGAGTGAACAGAGCAGACCTCTTGGTCTGACCTGTTAACATCCAGGGTCCTTTTGAGTTCTAATTTGCATCCTTTTCTCATGGCTTACTAAATACTTACGGTCATCAATGATTGTAGGTCGACACTGTCCCTGATTCTACCTTCATTCCGGGCTTTCGTGGCAAGATTTCCAAACCAGACGAACGGAACCCAGTATTTCAGATGTGGCGATTTGAGGTGGTCAAATAATTTCCTTTCATCTGTTGTCATAAAACCTTTACACAAGATTACAACAGGGGTGTTATACACATTTAGGCCCCGAAGCATCACCATAATTTTAGTATCCTATGTAAGCATACTAGGGTAGCGGGTGGGGGGTGCTAAAGAAATAAAGATTTTTGTCTCCAGTGGTTTATACTTGTGCTAGAGATGAAGAGTTTGGCACATGAGTGTGTGTGCATGTGCATACACAAAGTGCACACGCATTATATATTGCTATGTGAAATAATGCATCGTCTTGGCAATCTGATAGCAGAGGTAAAAAAGGAGACACATGAGTCTGGGGCATAGATTCTCAAAATGTGATACACAACCTCCTATGGGGCCACATAGCTGAATGTGGGCTGTGGACTATTTGGTAACAGGTTTCTGAACATTCAGTAGCCAAAACTTAATTCAAAAATCAAACACATAATGAATCCGAAGTGTTGCTGGCCACGCACAGCCATATCATATTAAGTGTCTCACTGTGCCTTGGTTTTGAACACACAGCATGTGCACTTTGCACTGAGCATAACTTGTTGCCACGCAACACCAACAGATGATGCCTCTAACATCTCGGCTCAGATTCAAGACTGTTTTGTGTTATGAATCACAATGCCTTCACTATCCCCATAAAGCATTCTGCATGTTTACAGAGACATAATGGTTTAATTACAGAAAACAAAAGCATTTTCATATGATCATTCCTCAGCATTTAAGTACCCAGTTAGTATATGTTTGAATTGCTTTACGTTAGAGTGTTTGATTTTAAAATCACCATTTGAACTGTTGACTCTTTTCATTTTAAAAATGTTAAATGAATTCGCCTTCGGATTAGGACAGCATTTCCACAATTTCTGAAATGGCCCTAAACCTGCTTCTGCTGTTTTATGCTATGTATTTATTGGAAGTGGCAGCCTTCTTGATGGCTATAAAATCAGAATACCAATAACTCTGAAAAGGGCAAAGATGTCATGCACTATCAAAAATTTGGCCAATAATTAATTATGCATATAAAAATAAAAAGCATATCATGTCATTTATATGCAATTTTAATTTCTTTCTTTAAAAAAGACAATTTTACATTATGAGTGTGCTATTATCTGCGGGTATATGCACGTGTATATGTGAGTTTGCATGGTGGACAGAAGGGGGCATCAGAACCCCGGAAGTAGTTACAGGTTTTTGTGAGCCGCCTTGCAAAGGTACTAGGATCTCCACTCTGATACACAGCAGCAAAGTGCTCTTAAGGACTGAACCATCTCTCTACTTCCTCCACCTTTTTTTTTTGGAGACAGGGTCTCATGTAGCCCAAGTTGACCTCAAACTCACTATGTAGCTGATCCTGTGCCTCTATGTCCCACATCCTGGTATTACAGGCAGGTGCCACGGTGGCCATGTTTGTTTGTTTGTTTTTATGTGGTGCTGAGGATCAAATCCAGGGCTTTGTGCATGTTGGGCAGGAAGTCCAACTGAGCCACAGCTTTGGCTTGCTTTCACTTTTAGAATTATTTCGTTCATTTTTAATAACCAGTCAAATGATATGTATGTGGGGCGTTTACCCACCACCCCCACAGCTTCCCAGAGTTTTCTTGAGTGCGATCAGCAGGAAATATTAGATAGAAGGATTTATAGCGGAGAATCTTGTGGAGATGAACAGATAGAAAATAAAGGATAGCCTCGAGAGGGCCTGGAACCTATTCCAATGGGTCCCGACTGTCTCTGCCCCAGGGTTTTGATAGAGACGCCAAGGGGTGGAGCAAAAGACCTCCTCCCCCAGCACAGCCAAGTGCAGACCATCTCAGACACCTGCACTCAGGCCCGTGGTCCTGATCATCCTCTATTCGGACCTGCTGGGTAAAGCCACGAGGAACCCCAGAACGGGCTCCCACATATGTACATCAAAGTATTGCCTTAAAATAAATTTCTGTTATAAAAGTTTTGAAATTAGATTTATTCATCTGAGTGTGTGTGTCAATGCCACAGCACACGTGTGGGACTTAGAGAGCAGCTTCCAGGAGTCAGCTTTCCCCTTCCACAGATCCTGGGGATAGATCTCAGGTTGTCAGGCTTGGCGAAGTATTTACCTGCTGACCCATCTTGCTAGCCCAAGCAAATTTCTTGACAATTTATTATCAGTCGCTGTTTGGTTTTATACATATTTCATATCTCCATATGCCTAAGTGTTTATATATATATATATATTTCTCCTGTAAAAGGGGGCTAGTGAGCCGAAAGAGTTTAAGAGCCCTGATCTAGGGGGCTGGAGAGACGGCTCAGAGGTTAAGAACCCTGGCTGTTCTTACAGAGGCCCTAAGTTCAATTCCCAGGACTCATATGGTAGCTCACAACCATCCATAATGAGTTCTGGCCTGCAGGCACACATGCAAACAGACCACTGTATACATAATAAATAAATAAAACTTTAAAATAAAAAGAAAGAGCCCTGGTCTAGAATATCTAGGGAAATTTCTCCTTTACATTTTGATTTATTAATCTAAGATTTGGCACAATAACACTTAGAGTTGTAAGGGTTAAGAGACTAAAATTCGAGAGTTATAACAGAGCTTGGAGCAAAAAGTTGCACGTGATTCCCAAGGCTGTTCCTTCCACCTCATCCTGTCAGCATCCTGCTTGATCACATTTCTTTTCTGTGAAGCCATCTCTCATTCCTTCCTTCGTCCACCCAGGGATTTCTCTAATTTAAATCTTCCGAGTGGTGCTCAGTCTTGACTTGTAGTATAGCGATATTGTACATAATGAAAGGCAAGGACTACATTGGTCTTTCTTAGTCCCCACAGTATTTTGCACAAATTTTCAAAACGTGCGTGCATAAAATGCAATTAGCTTGAGTTTCCAGAGACCTCCCCGAGCCTCAGGGTTTTCCTCTGTAATGATATCTGCTTTACCGCGATGGTTCTGGGGATAGAGCTCCGTGGTAGAGCGCATGTCTATCGTGCTGGAAGCCGGCACCACACATCAGGAAGGCATGTGGGGGATGGAGGAGCGGGGAGGTGTTTCCTGGGATGCTAAACATACCCGAAGAGTTGAGCACACTTAATGCTAAGGAACAATGTATCTTTGACTCTTTATCTGGGCTCCTCCTTCATTCCCTCTCTTCCCACACAAGGGGAAAAGAGGAACAAGGTAGCGGGTTTATTTAATAACAAAACCTTGAAAGAGGATTTATTTTTACTACTTTTCATGCGTGGGTGCCGTCAAAAGCCAGAGGCATCAGAAGGGGTGCTGCGAACTGAACTGCGGTCCTCTGCAAGAAGAGTGTGTGCTCTCAACCGCTGAGCCATCTCTCCAGCTCCATTTTTTTAACGTTTATGCGTGAAGAAATAAACTTTTTTCTTTTCTTGTTCTTTTTTTTTTTTTTTTAAAGAAATGGACTTTGAAAGCTTACGGTTTATGCTTGATTTTTACCTTTTTTTTTTAAAAAAAAAAAAGGTTAATTAATTCAAGTGATATAAATATCCAAAAAGGCCAAATGAATATTCATGGAGAAAATAAGCCTCCCTTCATCCATAACCTTGTTCCTTTCCCTAGAGAAAATCACTATGACCAGTCTATTGTATAACATTCCAGAGAAATCTCATGGATGTTCATACACATCTGTTTATTAAACACAAATTATTTTTATTTATATACATATTTATAATTTACTTCTATTTTTATTTGTATATTAGAGGTTAAAAATGAATATGTAGCACTCTTATTTAAATGACTGCGCTCTACTAATATTAATAGTTGCTTACAATGTTTTATTTAATTGATTCCACCTTGAATAGACATTTAAGCTGTTTCTAATTTTTAACCACAGTAGCCTTTTCATGGGGGCCTTAGGGATTGAACCCAGGACCTTGTATATGCCAGGCCAGTGCTCTATGTCTTGAGCTAAATACCCAGCCCTGGTTCTAACGTTGATACTGGAAATAATGCTGACATGACTGTCTTTGTTCCTATCCCTTTACCTCTCTCTAGTGGCTTGGAAATGTTTTGATTTCATCTAAACTATATTTTCTGAATGAAAGATTATTCCTAAAACTAATTTTAGCAGATATTAATTTTGGCTTATTTTAGCCTCCAAAAATGTAATCATTTGCTAATGAAGTTCTGATGAAAACCAGCTTTGCCTTAATACAACGCATTACATCTGGGTCTGTCGTCTGCTTACAGATTTGGTTTCTCTGTGTTGAGTTATCATCCCTCCTTAGCATGTAAGACTTAAGAGGTGGTGTTATAATATAAAGTATGTCACAGAAGAAGCAAGACACACCCTTTTGATAGTCATCCATTCCTCAAGCGGTGGAGTTCCCTAGGTCTCCTAGGTCTGGTGTGGCTCAGGCCAGTGTTCTCCAGAACGAGTTCTCAGACAGAAGACCTCGCTCTCAGAATACCCGTCACCTAGCAAACTTGGGTAGGGCTGGCTCCACCTGTGGGCAGGCGTTCCCTAGTCACGTCTGCTGTTACCATGCCTTGGATAACATGCTTTTAGAAATGCTATCTTCTCCCCAGAGGTTCTGCTTCATCTGGTCTGGGTGGGGTCAGGTAGGGGCACACTAAGTCTTCTTGGGTGACCTACTGAAATGGAAACCAGGCAGTCGTATGCTTACAAAGACCTGCGGGAAATTCTAACATGCAGCAACATTTGAATTTTACTGTCCTAATGGAGGAAGGTTCTGTTGAATTCAGTATGTGAAATAAACATAGTGATAGCTACAGAACCAATATTTACCTTTGACACTAGACCAGAATTATATCCAGTTTACTTATACTAACTAAGTTTCTGTCCATGTCTAGGGGATGGTACTTCTTCTGGATTTTTTTTTTTAAAAAAAGGCCAATAATTATGCTCTTGTTTCTCAATAAAACTCAAAGTTGTTACATGTGATGGCTAGTCTTGGTTGTCAACTTGACTCCATCTGGAATGAACCACAACCCAGAACTGGAGGGCACACCTGTGAGAGATTTTCTGCTTGGCTTGAAGTGAATTAATCCACTTGTAGTC